ATCCTGATCAGACAATAAGATCAAATAGTTACTAGTCCATACTAAGCTCTAACCCTTTGATTATAGTTGAGAATGTATTTTTCCAGAAATTGTTAAAGGATATCGCAATCGACAAGAATTTCTACTGCTCTTCTGATATTCTCCCACCATTGTGAAGCAAAAAAATCTTTGAAGAATGACTATTTTGAGCAATAGAAGATATACACCAGTAAAATTCCTTTAATTAGGTATGGCTACTGAAAGATATTATACTGAAATAACATGACTCAGTTTTTACTAGGTCACATAAGAACCTGGAATCCATCATAAGTCACTTTTTAATTACAGATGGATAAAAAATCACTGCCCAAAGAAGGTTGGAAGCAATTGTGTCCTGGAAGTAAAGGCTCCCACTAGGTGATAAGTCTTCTCAGATGGTATATGAGAAGAAAATCAAGATTAAGAATGGATAAGTTCCTCAGATGGTCAGAAAAAGAAAGGATATCCCAATTGGACATTTCTTATCAAGAAGAGATCTTGAGAAGCAGGTCTTTGAAGGAAGCTGGAAATATTTTTTTTAATTTTTATCTTTTTATTTTCTTGTTGACTACTTAGACATTTTTAGATATCCCACCTTTTTTTCAACCCATCCTTTTGTAGTTTCTTGTATTCTAATGGCTTGGATTGATATACAGCAGTAACAACCTGCTGACAATGATGCAATGGACTAGGAGGGTTTTTACCCAAAGATATTGTGAAGCAAAATATTGTCCCCAAGGTCAAACTTAGAGGCTATTATGCTTACGACAAGTTAGTTAGATTATAATAATAGTTTAGCTGTAATATGTATTATGCTGCTAGAATAAAAATGTATTTATATTTTTAATTGATTAATAAATCAACAATTTAACTTGGCTATGGGTATATAAAAAAAAAAAACCACATATTTAAAATTAAATTCTTAGTCATAAACTCTTTTTACTAATTCTCTTTTTTTTAAAAAATTTTCTTTTTTGACAATTTTTTTGAAAAAAGTGAATCTGTTTAAACATATATAAAAAAACAACATATTCTTCAAATCAAGCTATCAAGTTCTTTTAATATATATATAACAAGCTATTTAGAAACACCAAAGAAAGAGGTAAATATTGTTTTACTAATTTTCTATTACTTTTTTTTCTTAAAAATTTTTTTTTAAAAAAAAAAAAGAATCTGTAAACTGATTAATAGTCAGAAAAAGGGAGTCAATATCAACTTCACATAGTTTACAGCCAGGCCAGTACAGGTTAACACCTTTCTTGATACTGCAAAAAACTCAAGAAGCAATTAAGTTTATTCAATAAATCAAGTTACTTTAGTTACTCAAAGATTCAGAAGGATATCAAAGCTTCCTAAAGACAAGATAATCTTAACATATAGTATATACACACATATACAATATACATATCTTCCATCTTGGCATGCAAATATGAATACATAAAAAGTAGACAAACAAAATAAGTATATATATAAAAGTAACAAACAAATACACATGTATATATATAACTTATGATTTAAACAAGTTGATCAACATTTCACATAAACATAATAACAATTTGTAAAATTCAGATAGGATCTTTAATATAAATAAATACAGTAAATATATCAAAACAACACAACAAGATTTTTTTGTATTACCTAATCAAAAAACATAAACAACAATAATTTCAAAAAGGTTTATTTGTAACCTAAATATATAGTAGATTACTGATAGATATACTGTAAATAAGCAATCATATAACTAATAAATAAATCTAAATCAGTAACAAATATAAATAAAGCATAATATATATTATAGATAGTCAATAAAAGAGAAGAAAATATAGTAAACACTTCAATTAATCTTTCAATAAAACATAATAAATATTCTATTCTATAGACCTTACAACAATTACTAAAACAAAAAATTAGTGAACCTTATAGACTAGTAGCCTTATCACCAGAAACATATACTATCTTAAATAGTATTATAGCAAGATATTAGAAATCAATATGACAACTTTTCATAAGAAACGAATTCTAACTCAATATATCATATATCTTTGACAACAAGGTAAAGAGGTTAAAGAAGATCTTTTATAACTTTACAATAAAGATAAATTTATAGAAATATTAAAAGTCAACATAAATTAGAGTAATAATCAATGAAGATTATCAAATAAATAGATAATGAATTAACAATAGACAATAAAGTAACAATAATATATGCACAGAAGATGGAAGAATTGGAATCACAAAAACTCCAAGAAATAGTAAAAAAATGATGCATTAGTGAATATAGCTCCTATACTACTAGTAATAGAAATATGACATTATCAATAAATCGTTACTTCATAAAAAAAAAGAAACTTATAGATTAGATGTAATGATAGCTAATATTCCAGAAAAAATAGAAGATAAAATTAAGGTATATCTAAGTAATACTCTTAAACTCTTACAAAAAAAAAAAACCTGTTGCAAAAAGAGTTTATCAATTTAAATAAGTGGCCAATTTTTTGGATACAAGAAAAAGAAGATATTATAAGATATACAGAAAAAGTTAACCGATAAAAACAACTTTGCTATTCAAAATATAATACCCTTGACTATTCACCAAAAACAAAGAACAGAAGAAACTTAAATAAAAAGTTTTTCAAAAATATAAAACTAAAGAAAACACTACCATTTGACATATATATTTAATAGATGTAAATCAGAAAAATAATAAGAATTTCATAAAGCCATATTTAAAAAGATATAAAAAAGTCTAAAATATTTATATTTATGAGGTGAATACAAAATTACAAATGAAAGCCTATATCAAATAGCACAAATATTTCAGTCTAAATTTTGAAGCAATTCAATTAGTACAGAAATACCAATAGCTATATTTTTTAAGTTTGAGATCAATGACAAATGAAATCAATCAAATATTAATTGAGAGAAATAACAACTTAATAAGACTTCTAGGTACTGATAAAACCTACATCAGTCTAATAGCTAAAGTATTGAATGATATACAAGCTAAGGCATGTTATACACCCAAATATTTCTATACACTTAAGAAATATAACTTTATAATAGTTTGTTTTAAGACAAAAGAAAAAAAAACAAGGTATGCAAACAATATATTTTCTTGTAGGGACATTATTTCTCATGAAATATCAAATATATATTCAAACAGAAAGATAGAATTATAAATGTGAAATAAAAATACAAGATTTAGATTCAGAAACATAGAAATAGACAATAAATCAATGTCCAACTCACAATTAGATAATAAATTAATAGAATTTATTTCTATTCCAACAAGTTATCATAGTTTCAAAAATCCGAGACAGATCAAACAGTGAAATAATAATAGAATAAGATGTAAAAGAAATAAAAGAGAAAATATTTTGCAATAGGAAGCAATAAAGAATCAATCATAAATTAATGAAACTATAGACATAGATTTTCTAAAGATAATATAAGACCCAAAATAGAAAGTACACAAGATCCTTTAATAAGTATCCTAGCTAACCTAGAAAGACTACATGCTAGAATAAATACTCTAGAGGAACAAACAGTCTTTAGAAGATCAAGAATTAGTAATAAGGAAGCAACTATTACTAAAGATGCACCAGTCTTTGATAGCAATCAAAAGAAGTAACAGTTCATTGCTTTCTTATCAAAAACCACAAATATGAGTAACAAATAAACTTTAAAAAGTAATAGTAGAATAGAAGAGGGGAAGAATATAAATATTATAACATTTCTATAAGAAGAATGGAAAAAAATTTTAATAATAGTAGACATAGATCAATAGAAAAAATCAAATAAGAAAATAAGATAGGTAAAAAGATAATTAGAGTAGATATATAGTACATAATGTTAGAGAAATTATAGATAAAACAAAGCAATAAAATTTAATTAAAGAGATACTAGAATAAGGAATAGGTATACTAGGATTGTACAAAATAAAATTAATACAAGTTAATGCACAATGGATATTCAATAATCAGAAAGATTACAAATACTTTCATAGTACTAACAAAGATATACCATTTGTGGCAGGAGTTAATCTCTTAATTAGAAGAGATTTGAAAAAAAAAGTTGTATCAGTAGAAAAAGAAGAAGAATATATTATTGCTATTAATATACTTATAATAAACTATTAATAATAATTCAGGTAAATAAAAAATCACTACACAAAGAAGGTTGAAATCAAGTATGTCCTGGAAGTAAAGACTCTTATTAGATAATAAGTCTCTTTAGATAGTATATAAAAAGGAAATCAAGATTAATAATAGATAAGTTTCTCAAATATTAAGAAAAAAAAGGATATTTCAATAAAGTATTTCTTATTAAAAAAAAGTTTTAAGAAGCAAGTCTTTAAAAGAAGTTGAAGAATTTTATTTTCATTTTTTATTTTTGTTTTCTTGTAATCCATTTGAACATTTTTAAATATTCTCTTTCTCTTTTTATCAATCCATCCTTTTGTAGTTTTTTGTATTCCAGTGGCTTGGTAGAATATTTGATAATAACAAACTACTAACAATAAAGTGGTAAACTACTGTAGAAAGATTTTTATTCAAAGTTTACTATGGAGTGAAATATTGTTCCCAAGGTTAAACTTAGAAGTTATTATTGCCTATAATGAATTAGTTATATCTGAAATTGATATTTAGTTATAGTATGTATCATATTGCTTGAATAAAAATATATTTATGTTTTCAGTTAATTAATAAACTATGATCTAGCCTAGCTATGAGTAAAGATGGGTCCCTAAAGGGGGAGGTAAGGACAAAAATCAAATGTCCCTTACTAGAAAAGTTTAGAATTTTTAAATTAATAATTATAAAAAAACTACTCACAATTGTTTTCTATTATTCAAATCATTGATTTATAACATTTCCTGATTTTTGTACCTATTAAAGTGAAGAGTTATAAAATTTGTCCCTCAAAAAGGGACATAAGTGATCTGTGAAATTTTATATGTTAAATACTTTAGGGACCCATTATTAGCTGTGAGTATAAAAAAAAAAACAAAACAAACTATTGACAATAATCCTAATAAATAAAAGTTCTAATATTAATTTATTAAGGAGATGAAATATTGTTTTCTAAATCTGACTTAGAGTATCTAGTTGAGACTTTGTTTTATTTATTTTGAATTAATTTAGTGAACTCCTTATATTTTTTAAATAGTGTAATCCTTTAACTAATAATTTGCAAAGTTAAGTTGTCATGTGAAAGTCCATGTAAAATTGTAAATTTTTATTTAATATCTCAATAAAGACATGTCATGTCATGATGGCATAAAATAATAATAATAATAATACAATAAACAATATACAGTATAAGATCATAAATAATAAGTATTCGATATGTTTTAGGTTATAATATACCAATTTAAATATTTAAAATACTCAAACAATGATTTTATTTACTCGGTCAACCAGTACACACACCTTTAGAATAAATATTAAATACTTGTCATTTACTTAGAAATCTATATTTAATGGAAGATTAAACTAATCAATCCAATGTATTTAATAAAGGAAGGATAGTACGATTCCAGTTGGTTTCCCATCGTTCCTTCTGATATTCGGCCACGTGTTTTCTCATTGACTCAAGCTTTGATATGTTTGCAGGATAATCTGTGAATAAATCCTATAGATGCATTAAACGATTAGCAAGGTCTAAAATTCACAATTCGTTAAGGAAAAGGTGAAATTGTCTCTCTGACGTTACTTACAATCAACTGTTGTGCCAATTGTTCACCATTTTTGAATATCAATCCGTTTTTATTTTCTTTTACCAACTCGTTAAGGCTTTCGTTACGTAAAATAGGAAAGAAAAAAAAATTTTTTTTTTAATTAGACGATCGTTAAACAGGTTAAAAATCGAGTATGGGATGTAAATAACAACCATTCGAATCCGACCGCACAGACTGGTAGTCCGCACCCAAACATATCAACAATCTTCATAGGTAAGTCCATTCCCGAAGAGGATGTGTGAAAGCAAAGTCCCAAATCGGCAGAACCTATAATGTATTAGATAAGAAATGTGAATAATCTAACAGATCTTCGTTTGGTATCATCGAAGACGTGTAAGTGCATACCCAATAACAAAGGATAATCTTCGGCAGGCAGCCAAGTGGTCACAATTCTGACATGATCCATAGACATTTTACTTATCTTTTCTACATATTTCGCTTTTAGGGGCCCTTCCCCGGAAATCGCAAAAAGAAGTTTCGGGAATTTTTTCGAATTCTTTTCGGAGCATTTCACTGCAAATTGATCGCATATTTGTGCGGCCTGTAACAACATTGAAAAATCTTCATCAGCAGTCCAGCTGGTACTACTGACTATTAATATGGGGCGATCGGTACGGTACTTTGCTGGATCGGTTGGTGAAGCTTTAACCGTCAATAATGTCGAATTTGATGATGAAGGTGGAAGAAAATGTGAACTGATTGCCTGTTCTGAAACGACTTTTTCCAAATTAAACCGCGTGAGAAACTAAAGGAAGAACATTGATTAAATTGGAACCCATTTACCAACAGTTTGGCTTACTAAACAAAATACGAACCTCGTGAATCTCATCTAGTTCCAATCTTCTGAAATTTGTTGGCGGTCGATCATACAATGTAATAATGGCTCCTCTGATATTTCATTTAAAAGAGTTAGAAGATTACTTTGCAAAATAATAAGTAACTTAATATATACACATTGCTTACTGAACCTCCCACTCATACATCAACTCGCGATGCATTTTTGCGGTCACGGTCAAGTGCGCATTCGCTCGACTTCCATATAACTTTTCATACCTGAAAACGTTATATTATTAAAAATAATGATTTAAGGTGCGCAAGTGGTTTATTAACACAAACCATTTTGCAAATTTAACGATACGACTATTTTGTCCCAGTCGAAGTCCGAGGATGGTATATCCGAAATTATGCCAGTCAATAATGATTTTCGTTTGTCGTAGCCAACAAACAAATTGTGCAATCAACAATGTCGGTATTGAAGGTGGATTCTGGTAGATTCAGTATTAACTAAAAATTTTTCACTTGTAAACAATTGACGGTGTGCAAAGGACCGCAATATACCTGAACGAGTATAACGTCCGGACGATTTATTCGCCTAAGTAAAATCCAGTATAGCAATAATATCTGAAAGTATACTTTGATTGGACTATACAAAATAAACAACCACTTTGAAGAATTGTTTGGAAGCCGCCATGGGTGAGACAAGTAATGAATTTTGATATTTGGATTATTAGTAATGGAATCAAGTGGTTTGGCACCTAAAAGAATCACACGTCATTAATAATTTGTATCAATACTACTTCTATTATTGCGAATATCATTATTTGCCTTCGTATCCTATAAAATCCACGGTCCATCCGTTTTGCGCAAAGCTCAAAGCATGATATTGCATTCTTGGAGAACGGCCAACGTCACCCATCACAATAAATGTTACATATTTTGTCGATCTTAGTGCAACGGCCTGCGTCCGTCTTTGTATGAATAGACTGAATCCTCGGATAAAAACCAAAAGTGTTAAGAACACAATGAGAACCGTCGTTTCCGAAAAGGGAAGTTCACGGTACTGAATGGCCATCGTTACAAAAGCCTTGGACGAATGCTTCCGACTAATTGTTAACAATAAACAATACAGACTTTAATGAACGACATTCATGCCGATAAACTTTCTATATATCTTAGGCGTTTGTACTCTACTCAGGAATGTTTTTTAATGCGTATATATGGAAAACATTCTTTGCTTCATTCTTTCATGAATGGTCTGACTGGTGCCAACAAATTATTCGTCATGGTAGTAACGCGATTTTGATATGATAAATGGTGAAACATACTTTACCTTTAATGCAAAAAAAAAAGAGGTTTTCCAATTTGAACTTTTGTCCAGTAATAAATCAACAAACTTGTTACTAAATATGGTTACCTGGTTTAATATATTCTCTAAATGCGAGACCATAGCGAAAAAAAAAATAAAAAGATGTGGTTAGAGGAATGACTGAGGGCGTAAAAAGATTTGTTGCCCATGGTTATTAAAATTAAATTTTTTTTAAAAAAAAAAATTTTATAAACAGTTATTTGAATAACACATATTATATATTATTTATAGGTAGAATTGCAAAATTCAATAATAAATTTTAGCAAGTAAATCAAATTCTCTAGTGTATATATTATATTATCATAGATCACTTTCTTGCAGGATATTTTAGCTAGGTTAAAGTTAGCAATGGTTAGTAAAAAAAAAAAAAAAAAAAAAAATCAAAGTATTGAACGTTACATTCTTACTCATCTTCGAAATTTTTAGAGCAGAAATAATTCCTGATGATAATACGTACGGTGCAAGGGCGATTCTTTTTTTTTAATTATTATCTTCTTAAATCTCTAATATTTACACCTACGCCGGGTTGAATAAATTAGGTATCGGTACCAATTTTTTTGATTTTTATTTAACACTTGGATAAACTGTACATGGTTACTATTCAAAGGAAAAAGAATAAACTAAACGCAAAGGAAATCGGAATTTAATAAAATAAGTACAAATAAAGTTGAATTAACTACAGGTTTGATACTTGATAAATGTCAATTAATGTTAATATTAATGTCTATAAGGAAAAAGTCACCCATCGTTTATTTAACCTTGATGGCCTCCTTGACCCTATTATCTTCGGCCGTCGTCGATATTTCTTCAATCGCCTCGTTTTCTGCATCTTCCTCAATCTGACGGCGGTTTAGCTTGTTCTCGGGATGATCTTCGACGTTAACTGCTACGCCAAAATTGCCCTGCGTGGTGTTCTCGTTGTTGCACTGATAAATTTCTATGCACGATTGGAAAAGTTCATCTGAAATTTCAGTTGCAAGTTTTGGATATACAAAATAATCCGGGTAAGCGGTTTTGGGTAGGTGACGGGGTGTTGCAAACAGATGCTAGTTATTAATGAATTAACTAATCAAAAATCAAACCCAAAGTGACATCTGAATGTTGTAATACTGCCCACATAACTAACCTTGTATCTGTACATTCTCTTCCCGCCATACATTACTCTTCTCTGCTCAAACTCCTTTCTCGAATTTAATATTCTCATTTCACGCTTTCTCTTTCGAGAATTACCGTTGTTATTCATGATATGTTCAAATTGTTGGAAGAGCTCATCTCCCGCGACACTAGAAGTAATGTGATTCCATACGGGAGCAACCTGGCGTCGAATGATTTCGTCGTCAGGGAGAGGCTGAGAATATGGGTTATAAGGAACCGGATGATGAAGCAAAAGGGATTGCGGCTCTGTGTCGGCAAGTCCGAAATCGACCATTTCATCGTCCGTGCGCCAAGCTTCTTCATCTGATTCCATGACCGCCACAGCAGGATTACTGGATTCAACCTTTTCCATCCTGAATTCCCCAGTATGTCGCGATCCAGTAGGGTGTAGTCTTTCGTTACTCATAGCATGCCTATTACCAATCTCGTCGGAATTATGTGGATCGCCACTGAATCGATGTGATGAATTTGGCCCCATTTCATTTTCGACATCATTCGGAAAACCCATGTGAACTTCTTCAACAGCGTACGCAGATCGTTCGTCTTCAAGAGACGACCCCTTTCGATATTGAGACGGAAAATGCGTTGATGACGGACCACCACGTCCAACCGAAGACATCCTGCGAGCTCCCGGCAATGACCCCTGATCGATTCCAAATGTGTGATTTGGAGCGAATCGACCTGAACGACTATTGGTAGTCATTTGTGGCATCATCATTCCCCCACCCATGCGCATATCCATAATTCCACCTGGACCTCTGAAGTCGTCGTGACGAAAGACGTCATTATGGTCATAAAATTCCGAGGGGGGAGCACGGCCTAGAGGATTTCGTAATGATGAGGAGGGGGATTGTAATTGTGGTGGACCGACATAAGGTCCACCTCTTCTCGATCCGCCAGATAATTCATAATCAGTGCTATACCGGCGATCGCAAAACGTCGAATTAGGAGAACGAATCGGAGGTGAAGACTGTGGAGGTGTGGTGGTAACATTGTTTACAGTGTTGCTGCGAGCTCTTCTGATTGATGGTTCAGAATCTCTTGAAGGTAAGTCTCTGCTGGAAGAAGTGTTGCTAAGCGTCGATTGTTCATCAGGGCCGATCGATCTTTCACCGTTTGTATCTCTTCGATTCTCGGGAATTATCATTCTCTCTGTTTTGTGTTCATCGGGGCGTAATCTCTTGCGGGGAGCATCGACGTCATTGTTATCATCCTTGTGAAAGGGTTCACAATCGGTATTCTTGCCGTCCTCATTGCCCACACCATCAGTTGTCGACTTCTTGCCATTATCATCATTAGGATAGTTCCAATGACTCATGCGAGTTTCGGTGTTAAAGTAATATACCTTGTTTTTACTTGAAACGCACCTTTTCCACGGGTATGGTAATTCATCTTCGCCTTTGGGTAAAGCCAGATCCGAATTGCCTTCCTTTGATTGAATGTCGTTGCTCTTTTCATTCACAGATGGGGGAATCCTTTCATTGTCAACACGGCGGACAGATTCCAATTTGAGGGTTCGATTTACTTGATCAACATCATTCCTTGACATCCTACGGTCGGATTGAAGACGATCGTATGATTGTTTGTGTGGATCCGCTTTTTCGACCGAGTTTCCTCGACTCTCAAACTCGCTTTCACGGGTCCTCTCCCTTCGATTATCGTTCAGATCCTTGTCAATAAAAGTTCCCGGCGTGTGATAATCCTTTCCCCTCTCCAACTCCCACGACGGTCTCCGATCTATTATATTGTCAGGCAATCGTTCTCGACCTTGATGATTATCGCGAGAATAGTCGACGCGGTATCTATCAACTCCGGGGATTTCACCACGCATATCCCGGATACGATAGTCCCTTTCGAAGTCCCGGATTGGTGGTCGTCGATCAGGTTCTCGGGTATGATGATCCGAAGATGGTCTGTAGAGATCGGGGAGAGCACTCGGACGTTCGTGCAAAGGACGGTCGCGATCATCTTTGCGATTTGTTAGCTCTCGTTCTTGATCTCTGACCAACCCAACTCGCATTGCATCTTTCAACGGAAATTCGTCCTGCTGACGATCTCTAATGCGATAGTCAGGTGGACGTTGACTCGAAGAAATATCGTCGCCACGTTGATCCCTGTCATAATATGGTTTGCGATCGCTCATCTCCGCTTCCTCCCTCTTCCTCTTCTCGGCTCGATCAAGCTCAGACTGGGTGATGGTGGATTGAACGCCCTTCTGTCTAGGATCGCTGTCCCGGTCACGAATGTCTTGATAGGCGGGATCACCTAAAGGATCTTTGGGGCGTATGTTAGATGGTCGTTCATCTCTCCTGAGCGAGTCAATCCTTAGCCTCTGCGAAGTCCCTCTTTGATAATGCGAATCCTTTTCGCGATCCCTGAGCGGATGCTCACGGACACTTCTGTCCGAAGTCGAAGACGCAGGACGGTGATCCTCGGGCCTGCGATTGGTAGACAATGTCCTTTCATCTAACCTACGAAATGCGGCTTCTTTTTCGTCAACTTTACGAGTGTTCGTTGAATCGCGTTCGTGATTTTTGCCCACATCCAGCTTATCTCTTGTTGAGGATGTTTCACCGTCCTTTGACATTTCATCGTGAGGTCTCGGTTCCCGATTCTTTGCGGAATCTCGTGTCCTCAATAAATCCTGTTCGCGGTCCTTGGGAATATTTGAAGTGGTTCTTGAATCGTATTCTCGATCACGTTGGGAATCATGTGGTCGATCCTTTGCCTGATCATCTTTCTTGATCCTTTCAAGTGATCGACTTCTCCTTGCACCCATTTTCTCCTTGTCCGAAGTACTGGACGATCGACTGGCGCCACCACGAGCAGTGCTATTCGAAGAAGTTTCTGCAGTTTGAGTGGGACTACCATGCGATCCACGAGGACGTTCGTGCTCGGGCGCGGTACGATCTCTTTCAAGTCTACGGGGAACATCCGAATTAGCCTTATCCTCCATCACGCTTTTATTATATCGCTCTTGACGTTCACGTTCACGTCTTTCACGATCGAAATCGTGTGACCTGTGGTCCCTGTGGTCCTTTTCAGAGGCAGTTATACGGTTGTAGCGCTCATCACGTAGCCTTTCACGGGGATCCCTATCGTAAGCGCCCCTCCTGCGATCATCCTTATGTTGTTGCACCATAGACACCTCCCGATTGGGACGCTCCGAATTCCTATCCCTGTCAGAAATACGTCCATCATCCGAAATTTGCCGGCCGCGAACTTCCGATGACGGCAAATCAGATGAATCCTTATCACGATTCCTCTCGTTCCTGTCGGCTCGTGCTTCGCGACCATCATTGAAACCTTTATCATTTGGCAACTGACCATCATTAGA